ACTGGTCAACCTGTACAGGTCTAGTGCAGCGCCTAGACCGAAAACGCTGTAGCTCCACAGCTGCTGCTTTTGTGAGGTCAGCACGCGCTTACTTCCTCATTCAGATATAAACAGCTGCTGCTTCATGGCATTAATCTTACTAGATATTTTAGTAATGTGCATCTGTCTGTCCATCCATCTGCAAGTCCATTTGTTCAAGAATGCCTCCGAAGCGGTAAGAGCGAGAACTTCCACATTTCATATGCCACTTCCTCTTATCCTAACTTAGGGCATGGTCGGGGTTTGGTTGTGCCAGGACAATGGGATGTGCCTGGAATTCACTTGTTTCATAAAATGGAAAGGGAGGGGTCTGGCAGGAGGGAGTTATACCTAGAATGACCAGAAGAGGGCAGGAAGAGGCCAGAGATAGCCAGGACAGCTATAACCTCTTTGGGCCTGCACGGGTGGAGAAATGGACAGCAATCTCCTGTATGTTTCAAAGAGCGTGTGTGCTGTCTGTCCCCCAGCCAGGAAACATGCACCCCTCTTCAGCTGTGCCCACGGCAGCTGTAGCAGCCATGGAGAGGTGTTTCTCATCTGGCCCCAAGCTGCTGTGGTGAGAGAGGGCTGGGGTTGTCCTCACTCGCCAGGGCAGCCTGTGCCCTGAACCCCTCCCCAGTCCCACCCCAGAGCAATGACTTAAATGAAGAAAAACAAAACTTATGCAAGGACCTGTGCAACAGCGGGTGAATCTTTTAGTCCAGTATTAAAATACCAGGTGAATACTCTTGGCTTCCCAGATCAAGGACTCTGGCTAATGGCCAAGCTCAGAAAGCCAGTCTTCATCTTTTGTCCGAGACCTCTTCAGGGAGGGAATTCCCATGATTTTACTCTTTCTATTCGCTCAGAAGACGCTATTGTGACCATAGGGCATTTCGAGGGGGGGGCTGGGTTTGCTCTTGGCTCCCACCTGCTTCTATGGGCTTGCAACCTGGGGGTGCTGCTGTGCTGTCCTCCTGCCCACTGCATGTCCTGTCCTGCTGGACTCCAGCCCCGTCAGCCTTCCAGTTGGCTGGAGTTTGTATCTGTGGGTAGCAGCACTTTGATCTCATGCCCCTTTTCTTCTGCTTCTGCAGTGGGAGAACCACAATAAAAGCTTGCAGTTAGAGGCACAGACGTACCAGCGAATTCAGGAGAAGATCCAGGAAAGGGTGATGAACAACCTGGGAACATGGATAGACTGGCAGTACCTGCAGAACGCTGCAAAGCTGCTCGCAAAGGTGGGTGGTTTTGGCTGTGCACCCACAGGAGAGGCTACACACCAAACCCTTCCCTGGCTGAGGAGGGAGAGCTATAAGATTATGCCCTGAACCTGCCTGAGGTTAGCAGGAGGGCACCTTTCTAAGCAGGTTAGTCCAGAATTGGTTCCTGCACCGTCCTCAGAAGCATCTGGTAATGGTCTCTCCTATCCTAGACTGGTCCGGTGTCCCTCCATTAGTCAGAAATAAGCTGTGCTAACCGCAGCCGAGGCTAAATGCGTTTCCTCTTCTGTTGCAGTGTCGTTACACCCTGCAGTACACCTATCCGTACGCCTACTACATGGAGTCTGGCCCCAGGAAGAAGTTGGTAAGGTGTTTGCTCAGACTTGGGGCGTTTAGCTAGGGAGCATAGCGAGCCAGCAGCCCTACAGGTGCATCTCCAGTCCCAGAGTCTGAGAGCTTACAGTAAATGTCATTGTACACCTGAGTCCCCAAACCTGGTAATCAGCTCAAAAACCTCCCCTTCCTTTTCCCCTCCCAAGCAAGATCTACCAGCAGAGCTCCTGTCATTCCAGAGACGGCCCTGCTGGACTAGAATAGTGCCACAGTGTGGACGACAAGCTCCTTGTCCCAATATCCTTCCCCATAAGGATTTGCGTTGCGGTTCAGGGGCCGACGCGTGTCTCTGGGTCCGAGCTGGGGGAGTCACAGCAACAGGTTCACCTTTCAGGAATTGGTGCAAGAAAGGAGGAAGGAAACCTCGGTGCTAGTGGTAGGGCGCTGGCCCGCCAGGGTCCTGGGGGATTGCTTTAGGAGCTGGGCTGTGCTGCTGCCCAGGCTGTCTGCTTGCTGCTAGGATTTGAGCTAGAGACCCCAGAGCTAGCTCGGGGTTTGCCCACCTATGCTGCAGACACTGCTCAGAGTGTAGACAAGCCCCTCAGCTGGTTCTTTGGGTTTGGTTTCTCTTTCCCAAGTTTGTAGCGGGGGTGGTGGGCAGTGTTCCCTGAAAGCTGAGTGCTTGGGCAGCCACCTAGGAAAGAGTCAAGTGCCACCCAGCTGTCTAGCAGAGTGCCACAACCGGGAGCATGTGTTTCTACTGATGGTGCACATCCGTACCTGCCTTGCTGCACATAATAATACTCTTCACGTCTGCAGGCCAGCCCAGTTGCTCGGTCCCTCTATGGCTTTGCTATCAAGGGGGCTGCTTTGGGAGGTCCAGCATGTGGCCTATCCCAAGTGGGTTTGAGCCTGGGATCCTGAGAGAGTTTCCTTGTTGGTGACACCATGGTGCTCAGCACTTGTAGTTTTATATGAAGGCAGGCACAGCACAATCTGCGTTTCCAGACTGGTGAATCTCCATCCCAAACACCAGTTAATGTTTCCAGTTTCCTCCTTTGCTGGTGTTCCCTGACACTCCAGTAATTAAAAGTTCAATGTGCAAGAATCCATCTTCCTTTGGGGTTTGAAGTCACTGGACGGGCTGCGTTCCAGTGCTCATTGTCTTCCCAAGTGTTCCGAGATTTGCTCCACCAAACCTGTTGCGGAGAGGAACCGCCGTTGGTGTGTGCTCTGTCTCTCGCCCTCGCTGTTTGGTAGCATACAGCTGCCCTGGGGAGATTGGTGTCTCTAATTCTCTGCCCTGTTGATCAGTTTGAATACCAGCAGGCTCAGTTGGAGGCTGAAATTGAAAACCTCTCATGGAAGGTGGAGCGAGCAGACAGCTATGACAGAGGGGTAAGTTATCGGGTTCCCGATGTCTGCTGGCCCATCTCCATTCACACCTGGCTTAGTGCCTGCACAAAAAGGCCCAGGCCAGCTTGGTAGGCAGGTGAAGGCCATCAGATGAGCTCGAGTCTGGCCTTTCCTCCCTGGGCCTGCAGGTGCTGTGAAAGTGGCACTGTTGCTTCCTACTTGGGGGGGACTTTGCTGCTCTCCAGCAGTGACTCCTGGATGGCTATACCAGGGCTGCCAGGCTGTGAAGGATGATGCATTCAGCCTTTTATTGGGGGGAAGGCACCCGTGTGTGTGTTTGGGGGGTTGCCTTGTGGGGGTGGGGGAAAGCATCAGAAACCCTGCAAGAGGGGAAATAAGAGAATTGGGTTCCGAGGGCCAGCGTCAAATCAGAAGGGTCCCTGCAGTCCTGAATTGGCTTGAGAAGCAGTGTCTCTTGTAAAGCAGGCCCTTCTTTACACGTGTCTCCGCTTTCCCCGGGGAGTCCAGGTTAACGGGCTTCTGCCCTGCTGTTCTTTGTTCCAGGACTTAGAGAATCAGATGCATATAGCGGAACAGAGGAGGCGGACCTTGCTTAAAGACTTCCATGACACATAAAGTGGAAGGAGGTGGTGCAGTGCAGGGGTGAGAGCAGCAAGCAAGGTGACGGTGGCTGCATCGTGAGAGATGAGCACTGCCTGTGGGAGAAGCTGGCCCAGGACAAAACCATCCGCTCCCCTTGCAAACCAGAGACGTGCAAACGCCCCATCTTAGTCCCTTTCTGTTCCTTATCTTTCTGCTTTTATTTCTGCTGGGCTGGAGGGGGAGTGAAGACTGACATCTTCCTCCTACCCCAGATGGCTTTTGAGGGAGGTTTTCTGAATGGCTGTTAATAGTATTAGATCATTACAAGGTATGTAATTTCCAACAGTTGTACAATTATACAGACAGACCCTAGAATAACACACAACCCTTTTTAAAAACAAATTGGCAGTGGAGTGTTTTTCCTTAATAATCTGCTTGTAAATGTAATGGGCTTCTGCCCCAAAATCCTCTTATGCACTGAGGGTTATGAAATAACCCAGCTAGATTTCCCTTGCCTCTAACATGCGCTTTGTAGCACTGGCCAGGGGCTGGAACTCAGGGGCGCTGCTGCTGTGTTTGAGCCTTACAGTATCAGTGGTGGCATCTCCTCTTTCAGCAGTAGTGTGCTGCATGAACCAAAGCAAATGGAGGTGGGAGAGGACAGATCAGGTGATGTCGGAGAAATGCCTCGAGATCATTCAGTCTTTGCAGTTGGTGAATTTAAGGTCTTCCATGTGGATTTTTGCTTCAGTTGGTTTTTAGGGGTTTCCTATGCTGCCAAAATGGCAGTGTCTGGGGAGACGGTAGAACAGTTGTTCTAACCGTGTTAAATAGGCTTGATCTTAAGTGGAGTGAAATAAGCCATGTTACTTTCCTGTGTGCATCTTCGTAATGATCAGTCATACCTGGTGTGTAACATGATCAAACTGCTTTGGTCCCATTTACCCAGGCAAGACCACACCCCATTGCAAGTCAAGGGGGGACCAGAAATGCTTCATGTGATCCCTGACACATCTTGGCAGTGTAGAGGGCACTCTAAAAGAAGTGTGAAAGCTGACCTTGTACTGCTCTTAGCCTGCATCAAGCCAGACTGAAAACTGACTGGTAGAGTTCACTTGCCTCTGTTAGTGTACAAGCTGCTGGAGGGTTATTATTACAAGTCTGATTATCCGGAACTCTCAGAGCTTTTGTACGAGCGTGTTTAATGTAAAATAAACAGTTTTTTTTAGAAGTGGCCTCCCCAATTCTTCTGCATGAGGGGTTCACTTCCAAGCCAGGTGCTTACATGCAGCACCTCGCTCCTGTGGATGTACCAGGCATGCATGCCTGTGTAACGCCTGGACTTGTACATGCAGCTGCACTTGGAATCTGCTATATGTAGGCACAAATGGAGTAGCGGATTGTCCGATCTGAGGAATTCCCCAATTCTAGGGGAATTAGGGAATTCCCTTCCATGCCATTTTCATGAGGAATGCTGCCATGACACATTCCTTACTAGGATATTCTTATTTTCACCTTTTTGGAATTGACAGGACAGAACGCTGATTAGGACTCTTCCTAATTCCTGCTTGACAAAGTAAACTAACTCTGCTGCGGGCGTGATTCTTGTGTTTATATGAGACACGTGCACCGTTTGACTCTAGCGCCCAGAACAGGGTATGTAGGTTTTAATCAGGTTAAGGTGGGAGAAAAGGGCCGGGTATCCGTTTTAGAGGGATTATATCATCATCATATCGACTAGTCCTGCGGACAGAGCTTGGTCAGCACAGAGCAGGGTTAATACGCAGTGCTTTAAAGATGTAGGCTACGAATTGGAATGCTAGTTCAGCGAGCTGCTTTCAAATGAAATTTGATGTGTTTGCTAGAAAGGTATAGAGAGAGACCTTTTCTAATCTAAAATACTTAGGGCTTTGCTCCGGATGGTACCCTCTCCTCCCTGCTCATTTCTATTGCATGAGCATTCAGCTCTAGGCAAGGGTAATCCTATTCTGCTTAAGCAAGGAGTGTTTTAAAATCCTCATTCCTGGAGCAGGGTAGATGAGATGGCAGGACCCAATCACCCAATGGCCCTAAAAACTGACTGTCTGCACTGCCCAGACACCTTGGTGATGAGCAGTTTAGCGATCTGTACGAATGCAGACTGCTTTGAAAGTCTGCTCTCCTTGGAATGAGACAGAACTCAGGCTTTGTCAGCAGGGCGCTGGTTCTCCAAAACTCTCCTAGGAAGGAGCCTGTGAATTTGCTGGTTTCCCATGAACAGATCCTGCTTCTATTCTCTGGGGAAAACAAGGCAGGGCCGTGTCTTTGCAGCATGAGCCCCAGCAAGGCAACATTTGTGCAGTAGTAGCATAGGAACAGTTAAAACTGGAAGGATCTGATGTACCCCATTTCCTGCTTGCTCTGACATCTGAAGAGTAAGATACTGCTGTTTGAGAGCAGGGGGCCTGATAGGAAAGAAACTAGTGTTCTTGAGATCAAAGGTAAAATGGTCATTTCTGTTAAGTGAACATGGCCCCTTTCAATGAGCCACCAATGAGGTGGCCTGAGAATAGAAGTAGAATCTCAGGTTATTGGCTCTAAAGAGGTACAGACTTCATCTTGGAATAGCCATGGGGCAGTCTCACAGTGTTTGCCCCTCCCTCTTTTTGCAGCTGCTTGCTCTTCCTAGGTCTGCCTGCCCTCTCTCTAGCCTGGCATCTGATGCTCTTTATTTCAGCATTGCTCGTGCGAATGCAGTGGCTGACTCCGCTTCCTAACCGTCATCAGGCTTCTCAGGCAGTACAAAGTTTTCTATTGACAATATAAACTGCATGACTGCTGCTCCCCAGGTGCATTGCTCCCTGCACCAGTGGGGGACAGGAGCAGCAGGAGGGTTCTGTGCTGTCTCACATGCACTGTTAAGACTTTAAGCAGGTGATTGATAGAACTTGATTTTTAAATGAGACTTGTTCTAGGGCCTCCTTTTCTCCCTTAGCGATGAGGAGTCCTGTGGCACCTTATAGACTAACTGAAGTGTAGGAGCAGAAGCTTTCGTGGGCAAAGACCCACTTCGTCAGATGCATGACATGTTCCAACACTTCAGTTAGTCTATAAGGTGCCACAGGACTCCTCGTCGCTTTTGCAGATTCAGACTAACACGGCTACCCCTCTGATACTTTTCTCCCTTGGTGCTGCTCGGTGGGGTGGAGCTCCAGGGTTTCTGGTAGCTGTGGCTGCTGTGGGAGCTTTAGTATAATGGAGAGTGTCGTTGGTTCTGGGCTGCCTTGCTCTGGGGAAGAGGCCTTCTCCGAGACACTGCCACCACTTTTCGCTCTGGGCAGCGGCGGGAAAGTGCCCGGGAGACAGGCCCCAGCGGTGGAGCGGTTTGTTTGAATAAAGTTGTGACTTTATCATTTTAAAAGGTGTGTGCAGGGTCTTTGTTCGGTCCGCCTTGGGGGGCAGCCCCTCCGCTCAGCTGGACTTTGGGACCTGCTGAGCAGCGGGGTGTGGACGGGGGTTGTAACTACACTGACTATATGTCCTGTTTTTTCCAGGACTGTCCCAAATTTAAATGCTCTGTCCTGGTGCCCCATCAAGTAGGAAGATGTCCCAGAAAGCCCTGCTAAATCCAGCTAGAAATGGCACCACCATTTCCTTCCTCCGCTGGGACAGCCTCACAGACACTAGTCCCCTCCCCCAGGATGTAGATGGCTTCCTGGGTGCTTTGTCAGCGGCAGCCAGGGCCTCTTCTGGTGGCGCATGGTTTCCGGTTTGGGTCGAAGGCTGGAGTATTCTCCGAGCTCTAATGCAGTGTGCACTGCTGCCCGGCAACTCCCTGCCAGCCCCCGCACAGCCCCCTCCCTCCCTTTCTCCCCCTGCAGGACACCTCTGCTGGCAGCAACTGGAGGGGGTGGGTGCCGGTGGGTCCAAGATTGTGCTGTGTGTGGCTGCTGCTTGCCTCCAGCTGGAGCTGGGGCTGCCCGTGGTGCTATTTTTAGGATTGCCCCTTGTTCCAGCTAGAGTTAAGTGGGAGCCGCACCAGACCAGTTACGGTTAGGCTGCTCCAGCTGGAACGTGCCTCACGTGGCTGCTGCTTGACTCCAGCTGGAGCCAGGGCTGCCTGTGGGGACTGGGGCGGCAGTACTAAACATAGCGCTCCAGCCCCCCAGAAACGGGCAGGCAGAAGTTGGAAGGGGCAGAGGGAGAACTAAGGGGAAGAGGCTTGTACTGGGGGCAGGCCAAGAGAAGAAAAGGGAAGCACCAAGGGGGGGGGGGGAGACGTACCAAGGAGAGAGAAAGAGGAGATGGGCAGGAGGAGGGGGTGGAAGAAGGGAGGGACAGGGTGATGCAGGGGGAGGGGCGGAAAGGAGAGGTAGAGCAAAGCTGGAGTAAATCGGGTGAATGGACACAGGGTGGTGACAGGCCCAGGGCTGTGGGGCGGGCTAGGCGCCAGGCAGGGCAGGTGGGTAGAGGTAGGGGGGGAGGAGTTCTTAGAGGGTCACATGGCACTCTACTTCCGGTCATGTGTCCATGTTGACCCGGGAGTACTACCTGCAGGGGCGGGGCTACCCTGTCCCTCCTTTTGTCTCAGGCCGCATGGTCCCCGCAGCTGTGAGGGCAAGGAGGGGCCGAGG